TTTTATATATAAGAAAATATTGCAATATCGTTCGACATTTGTCCAATTGGTTATGATAGGTTAGGCTATCACAATGAATCTTGGGATCCACTGATACTGAGAGACTCATTGTATTTCTTTGTTAAACTCTAAGGGATTAGGATCAATTTAATATTATGACAAAGCTTAATATATTTTAATAAGAAAATTATTTAATTACTTAAAAAGACTCTACTTAAGAAGACTCTAGTATGTTTAATCTATCTTAGCCGTAAGCTAAAAATGACGAAGAAGATACGGCAAGAGTCGTGATTTAAGGAATACGAACATTAACGTAACCAGGAGTGTGGGTGGTTTAAACTAGAAAAGATTGTTTTTATGGCAATTCTCTTTTAATGTATTTTTTGTAAATTATATTATCAAACGTCAATAAATAGCAACTTTCTGACTCCTACTGTATTATCTTGAAGATCATATTGTCAAAGAGAAATCTATCATATAATCTCTCTTATTTACTCCATTAAAAAGGAACTTTCTGACTTCCAGGATATTTTTCTGAAGATTATATTATCAAAGAGAGATCGATTCTCCAATCCGCCTTGTTTTCTGACTCCTAGTGTATTATTTTGAAGATCATATTGTCATAGAGAAATCTATCATATAACCTCTCTTATTTACTCCATTAAAAAGGAACTTTCTGACTTCCAGTATATTTTTCTGCGGATTATATTGTCAAAGAGAGATCGATTCTTCAATCCTCCTTGTTTACGCCACCGAATAGAAATTTTCTGACTCCATTTATGGTTTCCTGAATGGCAGTGGTGCGTCAGCAATCCTCATGATATCCTGATAGCGTAAAAATTCCTGATAGCATTGTGACTGAAAATGCCATTTAATAAATCTCAATCAAAACCGAATAATACATTCTTCATATATAGAATGTTTTTATGTTTATGTTGGAGATACTTAAGAGAATACTTAATCTGATTCAACAGTGAAATGCCAATTCTTAGCCTTTGAAGATTCAAAATTATTAAAGGCTAAATAAATGTCAAATTCTTATCCTTTAAGGGTTCAAAATTATTAAAGGCTAAGTAAATAAAATTAAATATTTATTTAATATCTTATCAAATAACAAAAATTTCGAACAAGAGACATTAACCAAAATGCTTAATCTTTAAGGTCCTTTAACGGAAACAGTGTAACGCGTTTTATATTCCTTTTTTGCGTGTAAAAATGTCCGTCTAAAATTAGAAATCTAAAAATACACTTCTAAAGGTCATCTCCATTCATACATTTTGGAAAAAAAATCAAAAACTACAAAAACTGAATGCATTTTGGAGTTGTCCCTAAAAATGCGATAAAAAATTAAAAATATTTTTACAAATTGAACTTCCACATTTCGAACGTAAATCCTTTAATGGAATGAAGGAGTTCTTTAAAATACTTTTTGTATTTTAAACTTTAATAAAAACTTAAATACTACATCGGTACTAACCAATTCAAAGAGTGTTGAGCCAACCTTTCTTGAAAGGTTGGTATATAGCTTCAGCTACATTAAAATAACTTTATATATAATTTAAAAATGAATAAATAATTTAAAAACTTGAGACTTTCGATGGCTTCCTAGCCCTATATATGTGACCATTTAACTCTCAGATTTCTGTTCTTGCTTTTTATTTTTTATTTGAACTCTATCATTATCTGTATATGAGTGCATAAGTCATCTTGCTCTGGATATATAACCATTCGACTCTCAGATTCCTGTTCTTTTTTTTGTTTTAACCATATCATTATCTGTATATGAGTGCTTAAGCCATCTAAGTAGGTCTTCTCTCTTGTAGTTTTGACAGCTACCTAGCCCTATGTATACGACCAATCAACTCTCAGATTCTTTTTATTTTAACCATATCATTATCTGTATATGAGAGTAATGCTAAGTAGGTCTTATGGTTTTAAAGATTTACATTTCTAGCCACAAGATATTAATTTCAAATTCCTTGTAACTTAACTATAACTTATTCTATTCTATTAAAAATTATTTTCATTACTTTCAAGGAAGTAGTTGAAAGAAATATATTTAATTTGAATTGTTTAATAAACTAAAGTTATGGAAGCATTCACCCACAATGTTTTAATATTGGAAATAGCTTCAACATAATTATTGGGCATCATTATAAAAAAAAAAAACTAATATAATAAACAATTAATGAGATTTCGTTTACAAAAAAAAACCAATCTTAATAATAATTATAAACTAATGATCATTAAAAATGTCAACTAAATTAAATTGAATGCAAATTAATTTAGCTATCGGCTATGCATCTTCTGTTATCAATATTTTATCAACATAGATAAGAGCTCGATTCACCATACTAAATTCTACTCAACTAACGCAATTCACGTTGAGTTCTCACGTCGTATGAAAATGCATTGTTTGAAAAAAATGTCGGCCGAATTGAAGCTTTTGCAAAACATAAACAAACTTTGCTCCACAAATAAAAAAGTGAGCGCGCACAGTGCCAGCATAACCCAGCAAAGAAATCAACAAAAGAAGAAGAAGAACAAGCACACAGAATTACAATGCAATATAAAACCCATGCGCACTTAAACCAAAATTCAGAGAAAATAAACAAAATACCAAAGATAAAACATATGACAAAGAGAAAACTTGAGCGAATGCGAGTCATTGGAGAACCACAAACAACATTAAGCAGAGCGCAAGCAAATCTTCAGAAATAAATGTGGGTTGTGGGCATGTATACAAATTTGCTGAATGAAAATAAAAACAGAAACAAAAACAATAACAATAACAAGCAGAAGAAGAAAAAAACAATAACAACAAACACGTTTTACGTGACACTGGAGCATTTGAGTTAGTGGGGGAAGCAGCAGAGCAGGTGCAGGATAAACATTTTTCATGAGATATGTTTGCATGCACAGCTGCGTTGAGTGCTTTGTTTAGAGATATTCAGCATGCCAATGTGGAATTATGTGTGTGTGTAAACTTAATCGGCATGGTAAGTAGTTAGGTATGGTGAGGTTGGGTGATTGCAGACAGCTCAACACAGCTCAGCACAGCACAGCACAGACATGGCAAATAAAAGCTGCTACTTATTGCTCTTCTTGTTGTTGTCGTTGCTGTTGTTGTTATCGTTGTCGCTATTGTATTATATTTGTTTTTGTTTTTGTTGTTGTTGTTGTTGTTTTTGTTGAATACTACCATTTTCCAGCTTAGTACAATTTCATTCAAACGCTGGCGCAGTCAATCAGTTGTGGAGACTGTTTGGACTGTTTTGTGTGTTTCTCGCTGTGGCGCTGGTAACACTAAAATATAAGCAAAATGCCAACGAATTTTTAGTATAAAATTTAATATAAAAAAATAAATGTTAATTTAATGTTAAATGCTTAAATAAAAATAAAAATAAATATAAAAATTTTTTTTGTGTGGAAATTTTAAAAATAGTAAAGTGTGCAATAAAATTACTAGAAAAAAAATTGTATGTATTAAAAATAATCTGTGTGCATATCAAACCGGAAGCTGTGAGTGCGTGCGTGCGTGCGTGCGGGGAAGATAAAAAGTTTTGTATTCGTTAGCAGCATTGGACGAGACACCGCGTGGGTATGTGTGTACGCAGACAAAATAAAATCCTTGTATAAATGTGCATTTAGTGTGAAAAGTAAGCAAATGTCAAATTTTTCACAGTGTAAACACATGAGCCACTACAACAAATCCTCCTCTCCACTTCCACTTCCAGTTCAATAGCACAAAAACGCTTAAAGTGAAAGTTAATTACATTATTGCAATAATCAAATAAAATCTTTGCACTGAGTGTCACAAGACCACCGCGGGACGGTGGGTTCAGAAGCAAAAGCTAGCAGAAAGCATGTAAATAAAATATGCACAAATATTTACATTGAAATGTATTTAAAAGTTAATAAAATAGTAATTCATAAAGCCTAAGATCCAATCGACTGCACACTAAATTCTAAATAGTTATTGTATAAGTAAATAAAAAGAAATCTTAGTCAAAAAATGCATTTGTAGCAATAAAAATTTACATAAAAATAAAATAATAAATGTCATTTGCAAAAAAAAAAAAATTAAGCGAAGTTAGTTAAAAAATATTGAAATAGTAACCAAATAATAATATAACAAAAATAGAAAAAGAAAAAATAAAAAAATGTGCTGAGCTTATCTATGAAAGCCAAATAAAGAAGTGTATAAAAACAAATGTGGAGCTAAAACAGATAAAGTGAAACCGAAAATAAGTTTAAAAAAAATTTGTTGAATTTATTAAATTGCGAAAGCAAGGCAAAATATACTCGCCCACATGTTTCTGCATTAACGTTGAAAGATTCAAAGCCTGAAAGGACCGCCGCCATTACTGTGGCGGCCGAAACAGGAACAACAATAACTAAAACGCAGGATCCAACAAGAGCACCAACACCGCCGACACCACGACCAACAACAAAACCAACAACATCACAGGATACAACAACAGACCCAAGATCCAAGCAATTACTTAAGGCCACAACCAAAGTGAAGAAGAAGAAAAAACAAATCTCATTCGACTCACCACAAAATTCACAAAATTCAAAAAATTCCCAAAACTCTCAAAAC